CCATTTGGTCCAACAATTGAGTATTTTTTTCCCTGCTGAAAGGTGAAAGAAAATTTATCTAATATTTTTTTGTTAGTTGTGGGGTAGATAAAATTAACATTTTGAAAACTAACACTAAGACTTTTTGCTGGTAGAGATTTGAGGGAAGATTTAGCCGGAAGGTCCGGATTTTTTTCTAAAATAGCAAAAGCTTTATTTAACTGGTTAACACTCGAACGATAGGTATCATATCCCCCATGAGCCCACAGCATTTCAAATAATTTTTTTCACTGACTAAATAATTCCTTTAAAGGTAGGTATAATGCCGCTCAAATTCCTTCTCCCAGGCAAAGCAAAAGAATAACCGGCATATAATCGAGCAGCAAGTAATTAGGAATAGTGCCGTAGAGGGATTTAGAAAGAGCCAATGGAAAAAGATTTTTGGCCGTTTTTTTCATTGACTTTTTATTTCTTTGTAGTTCAGTTTTTTCTACCCCAGTAATTTTAATATGTTCGATATTATTTTTTATCTCCTCGAATTGTTTATTTTCTTGACTGATGACTTGACTCCTTTGGCGGCGATAACGATAAGATAAACGATAAAGTAAGCTGGCAATTAAGGTGAGAAAAATAAGTGCTGAAAAGACTCATGGAATAAGGTTTGCTTTTTTATTATTTTTTCCTAATTCTCAAAATAGAAAAATTATTGAAGCCCCCGCATAAAAACAACGATTAAAAATCCGAGCCGCCTGAGTTCCTGCTATCGCTGCATCACTTTCATAATTACTTACAATAAACTTACTTTTTTGAGTTTGGGAAAAGTTGGCTCGCAAATATTCTTGGGTTAATTTTTTTCGTAAATAAGTGCTGTATAATTCTTCTAGGTATTGCCCTAAGGCAATGTGAGTAAACACAATGATACCGTAAAGAACTAAACGGCCTATTACTTCGAGTGAGTTGTCTTTTAAATAAGATAAATCTCCTTTCTCTACCATCTTACTGATTATGCCTATTAATTTAGCATTGAGAAAGGCACTTAGAAAACCAAAAAGATAATGAAGCAGAGTTTGGGGAGTAAACTTCCTAAATAAATAAAATCAACTAATTTTAGTTTTTTCTTTTTTGAATGAATGATATTGATTATTTGGCATATTTTTTTAATTTCTTGATTTTTTCTAAATAAAATTGATAAGGTTGTTGTTTTTCATTATTTTCAGAAAAGTTGTAATCCGTAAATTTAATATCCAATATTTTCCCCACTTCTTTAATTTGGATTTCGCCGGAGTATTTATTAGCCCGAAAAAAATAACCTTTTCAGTGCTGAATATCTTTCGGTAAGTTGGCATAAAAGATATTTCCTTCGTCAATTTTTTCC